GTCAACCTCGGTGTGTCCAGGCACTTAGCTGAAGCCCGTGCATCTTGTAAAGTGTTGTTAATTTTTTTTGGCTTATGCTTTGGTTGTCTTTCATTAATATTTTTGTTATACGCCCAATTATGGGGCTGAGTCGAGGTATATGTGTGTAAGTTTTCTGTATATTATTTACCTAATGTGATGTTGTGATCCTGGCCTAATAGTGGTAGCTCAATGGAATATATTTTTGTTATCAAGTGCTTCCGTTCAGGCCCCATACGTTATATATATCGGTTTTATGTCTGTTTCTGATGTAGTCATGCCCAAAACTTTTAGGGACGATTTTGGGGTGTGACACGATGTCTGATCGTTTTGATTTGTATAAATATTTTATTCAACGAATCCTAAATGGTGAACAGTTTAAACTACTAAAATCGATTTCAAAATAGATTTATCAAATTAAAATATTCTCTCAAATTGAAATGATTAACATGAGAAAAGCCCACCCAAAATAACCCAAGCGAAACCTAAAAATATAAAGCTCCTTTTCCCTCCTTCCTGGCAAGCTAAACTTATTGCATAAGCATATGGGTGAAACTCTATTGAATTCTTTGTGTGGATTTTTTTTATTCAATAGTAATTTTTAGAGAGAATTACACATTGGTGGGATGAGAAAAAAATATTTACAAAAAATGATAAATATTAATAATTGTAACTATAAATTTTTTCACTTTTTTGTAAATATTTTTGCTGAACTTCACTGATGTGTAATTCTCCCTAATTTTTATGGTCATATTATTTTGATCAACTGGTTGAATTAGTTTTTAGGAGAAAAAAATTTATTCTGTGTAATTTAATTTCTTGTTATATCAATACTCTAGGCACAATAGAAGTTTGGAATTCTTTGTGAATTAAATAACTAATTAATTTGCATTGTATGCTCATTTAAACATTTTTGGTGATTCTTTTATGCAAAAATTAGTTTTAGGGTGAACAACATCATTGGTCTTTCTAGTTCAAGCAAAATTTTATTTTGATTTTCATAATTTTAATTTTATCAATTTAAAGCCTACACTTTTAATTTTATTTTAAGGCCACAGCTTTTCTCCAGTCCAATTCGAATTGGAAGGTGCTGTTGGGCCTCCATGGGCACACCATGGAACCCACATCAATAATCTGAACCGTCAATGTGCAAGTCTCGTCAAGTATTTTATCTCTATAAAAAATCACGTTGATTGAATATCGATAGTCACGTGATTATATCACATTTGTGTCAACAATAAGTATAATTTTTAAAATAAATTATTTATACAAATGCGATTTGATCAAGTGGCTATCGATATTCAATTAACGTGATTTTTTATAGGAATGAAGTACTTGACAAGTCTTACATATTGAACGATTTGGATCATCAATGAGGGCCCCATGGTGGGCCCATGGAAGCCCAACATCACCCTCCAGTTGGGATACCCAACTAAAGAGGTCTTCCTTATTTTAATGCGATCCTTCTATCAATTGTCATTAACATTTTAAACTGCAATACCACATATGTAAAATTAGAATGATCCAAATAAAATTCAAAATATATTATAGTAATCACCAGAATAATTTATTCATTTTTCTTTCTTACGTGAGAATTTTAAAAAATTTCACAAAATTGCATATGCTTCTTTCAATCTAAAATACTAACGATAATGACAGATACACTAAAACGTAATGACAAAATTAAAAAGTGAATTTCAATTGAATGCTAAACAAAAAGTGAAATCATCGAACACCGAAATTGAATCCATTCATGAAATCTAAAAATAGAGGCCATGCATGACAGAGAGGATACACATTTTGGCAAAGTGGACAGTACAACATTCACCACTAATAATATCACTAAGAGGAAGTAGAAGATTTAAGGAAAATTTTTAGTAAAACTTAAAAAATAATTATAAATATATAGTAGATTTTATTAATATTAATAATTATAATTATAATTTTTTTTTATAAATATGTAATAATTTTCTCAAATTACCTCTAATTGGTAATTTCTCCAAGATTCAAAAGGATATTTATAATCTTGGAAAATAGCATTAATTACAAAGCTATTTCAAACTATAGCATTAATTACAAAAATAATTCCAGCTTCATCTAAATTTAGCTACCACACATTATTCTATAATAAAATTTGATGTTGGCAGGTACCTTAGGCCTCGTTTGGCAACATCACTTTTTAGCTTAAAAGTGAAAAAGTCGCTAAAAAAATTAAAAAGTCAACAACCTATACCAAAAAGTCAAAGATTCCCTTTTTACACATCTTTTCGTAAAAAATTAAAAAGTCATCACAAACAAATTAATTTTTTTTATCTTATATTATAATCAAAAAATTATTAAAATAGCTTGTTCCCAAACAAGACCTTACTAGACAAAAAAGATTCATACTTTGAAGAATCCGGAATTAGCCATTTCTAATAAATTCTCAACACATTTAATTGTCTCAGCGGAATTGAAAGTTGATGAAACGTGTGGGATTTATGGATTTATTAGTTGGTATTTGATTGCAATATAAGGAGGAAGTGATTTAAAGTGGGAAATATGATAGGATTATCCAATTTGACATGTGTTTCACATGATATCAAACTTTGAATAATTTTAATATTTGTATAGAAAATTAAATAAAAAAAAATTAGGGATTAAATAATACTATAGATAGTGTGGTATTATAACGATTAGGTTTCTCGAGATTATTTTTTAACTTCATTCAATAGTCAAATATAATTATATATTTTTATTTCATCATAACTAAATATAAATCATAACCAAATACAATATCTCACTTCCTCTTCATAATCCTATCAGATATCTAATTATTCATCCCATCTAATCTCATGACGTAATTTATCCCTCAAGAATTAAAGTTTAAAAGAGTCTAGAAACCGAAATATTCCTCTCTTTTTTTTTTTAATTTTAATAATTACATGTGTTTCACAAAGTATTTATTTTTCTTGTCAATGACTTATTTAGACTTCAATCTCATTTTAACGTGAATAAGACTAGCATTCATCTTACTTATAAAATACTTTATCTCTGTATAAAATATATTCACTACGATCAACAAATATAATAGTAAAGAGATACGACACAATAATGACAAATGAAAGTAATAAAGGAATGGACAAACCTAAATTGAAGTAAACTTACCAACAAAAATATATATACATAAATCTCCTGAATTTGATTAAGCAAATGGCCGTTGATAGAATCAAATAAAAGAGAAGAATTCATATATCTTATCCCATTTGATAAGACTTAAGGATTGGTTTGGTTTGATTTGGTTAGTTTGGTTTCAATATTTGCATAATTTTTACATTTCTTATATTATTAGAAATTGCATTTTTACAAATACGAAAATTTTGTTGTCTTTACACATTTTATAAAAATTAGTTTTGAGGGTATTGTTAAAATTAGAGTAAACTAATGATTTTTTTTTTTTTAAATACTAGTAAAGGTAAAATTATGTTTTAATAAACTAAATATTTTAGATAAAATGATAATGACAAGTACAAAAGTCCGACGTCGTATTACAAAAGTCTGAACAATGACACGTACATATGACATTTTCTGTTTTTTGACAAGAAAACGTTGGTGGTGGTGAATTGAAAAAATACATATATTTTTTAAAAACTGTATTGCTGATAAATGATTTTGGGTACTTAGACAAAAAATAAATAGATAAAATAAAATAAAAAATAGATCACAAGACACCTATCATTAAATTTATAATATTTTTTTATGAATTTCAATACACTTTTTAATGTTTTTATATCTTTCCAAGCTATTTTTTATCATTTCTTTAATGTTAACAAATGTATTAATGACACTAATGCAAAATTTGTATAATATCCTAAAATTATTAAATTTCTTAATTTGTATTAATTTTATTTTTTTAATTTTAAATTATTTAGTTTTCAAGAATTAGACTAGTTAGTTGACTTAGCCTTAATTTTATATGAAGTGTTAGCTATCAAATTCAAACTTAGTGTGAAAGAAAATATCAAAATTAAAATTAAAAAAAATTACAAAAATCGTTTGGGAGGCTTGTTTGTTCTAATATTCCAAGTCATGTTGTCCCCCACAAAATCAAAGCAAAAGGGTTGAAAACAGAAATTCATGGCTGATAACAAGCCAGTTAGTAGCCCATATTTTTAGTTCTCTGTCTCTCTTATCTCATTATTTATTTTTATTTTTATTTTTTTTATAGTAGTTTAACTTTGTTAGCGTACGTCCAGCTTATTTTTATTTTATTTTTATAATAATTTAACTTTGTTAGCATACGTCCAACTTCAACCGTTCATTTTTTAGGACTTTCTATATATATTATTTATGGGAAAAAAAATGGCGTCGATCTAATGATTGTAGTCATTTCATTTTATTAGGTTTGTTTCAGAAAATTAGATGATAAATGTATTTTTTTAAATAAATCATTTATATTTTTTGAAACAAATGCTATAAAATAAAAAATAAAAAAATTAAATTTATTGAATCAACCTAATTCTTTCCAAAGATGAGATATACGAAGGGTCTTATGAAATGAACTATTTGAATTATCAAAATAGGATCCGTGATGGGCCTATAGATTATATTTGAATCATGAATTTAAATAAGAATTTGAAAAGAAACAAAAAAAAAAAATTGAGAAAAGTGTAAATGAAATATATGTTAAATTTTTTCTACATGTCTTTTAAAAATAAAAATAAAAAAATTCTATGGAAATCAACGATTCAAACGCGCAAGGAGAAGGTTTTTCCTTGTGAAGAGATGAAATTTGCATGAAATTGCAAACGAGGACTTGGGCACAACGGTTGGATAGGTATTACTACTTGGACAGCTTGGATGTGCCTTCTGTTCACGGCGTTTACTGGTTTTTAAAATTAAAAAAATAACCATTCTCACATATTTTCAGTTGATTTATTACACCATTCATCAATCTTTTTCATAACCCTCAAAATATCTATAAATACTAGGACTCTTTAGCTCATCACAACACCAAACATTCTCTTTTTCTCAAACCACATAATGGAGTTAAAGCAACCCATGATCAAAGAGATGGAGCCACAGCATGGCCAAAAAGGCTTCCTTGTCAAGGGTACTACGAAAATTGGTGGCCATGATTTGGAGGATACGAATTGTCGATTGGATTCGCTTAGAATGCTAGAGACGGGCTTGCCTAATGGCTCTCCGGAGAAGAAACTGGCATGGTTGAGGTCACAAGTGATCGGAAGCGATTTGGAGTTTGAGACGCCGTTTGGGAAACGCCGCCTCACTTATGCCGACTATACGGCCTCTGGCCGGAGCCTTCTCTATATTGAGAACTACATCATTGCCAATGTTCTCCCGGTTTATGGTAAATTTAAACTATATAACTTCTAACTTCATTTCTTATATGTGTAAACAATGAAGTAAACTCATGATTCTTAATAAAGTATGCATTTTATGTCAATTTTATAAAATAATAATAATCTTATGGTGTTTAAGTATGCGTTATGTTTCATTTCAGTCTCCAAGTTTCAATTTGTCAATTTTTATCCCTTTAACACCGTAAAGTTATGTTTGATTTTTTTTATTAATGTTTAAAGACTAAACTGACATAAAACTTATACTTTAAACATGATACGGATATTTTATTATAATTTTGTTAACGAATTAAAATTTAGATATGAAATTGACAAAATTAAAAACTTGTTGAACCAAAATAATACGGAACACATAATTTAAGAATCATAACTATATATATATATATAATTTTGACTTGTGAATTATTATGATACAGGAAATACACATACAAGTGACAGTTATGTGGGGCACCAAACCACAAAAATGGTGCATGAAGCTAGTAAGTATGTGAAAAGCTGCCTTGGTGGGAAAGAAGAAGATGCCCTCCTCTTTGTTGGATCTGGTACAACTGCAGCCATCAAACGCCTCCAAGAGGTCATGGGAATTTCAGTTCCATCCATCATGAGAGACAAAATATTAGCATCAATGGAGGCCGAGACCAAGGACGAGGATGAAAAGATCACTAAGCTTAGGAATAAGATCAGGAGTAGGGTTAATGAAGAAAGATGGGTAGTTTTTGTGGGTCCATATGAACACCATTCAAACTTGCTGTCTTGGCGCCAAAGTCTAGCACAAGTTGTTGAGATTGGTTTGGATGAAACTGGGTTGATAGACATGAAAGCTCTGAAACTACAACTTGAGAATTACGGACACACCAATCGCCCTATGTTGGGTTCTTTCTCGGCTTGTAGTAATGTCACCGGGATTTACTCCGACACCCGTGCCCTCGCTACTCTTCTTCATCGATATGGCGCTTTCGCTTGCTTTGATTTCGCTGCAAGGTATATGAATTGCGCTTGCTTTGATCATTTGTACTGTTAATTTTCGCTTGCTTTGATTTCGCTGCAAGGTATATGAATTGCGCTTGCTTTGATCATTTGTACTGTTAATTTTATGTGATTCGTTACAATTTAGTTTTCAATCTTTTAATTTTCTCATTTTGATCCTCAAGTACCCGTTCAAAATCAATAACACAAACAATGGTGTATTCAAAATTTTAGCAAAAAATAATGTAATAAAATTTTAGGATTAAAATGCATGCTTTGAATACACGTATTTGATCATTTGATTTTGTTTAGATTTCATATAAAATTTCAAAAATAACCCTATACATATATATGTGTGTGTATATGAAGTGGTCCTTATGTAGAGATAGATATGAGATCTGGAGATATAGATGGGTATGATGCAATTTTCCTAAGTCCACACAAATTTGCGGGAGGCCCCTCTACTCCTGGAATTCTCCTCATGAGCAAGGTCCTCTATCAGCTCGGCACCTGTCCCCCTTCAACTTGTGGTGGCGGAACTGTCAGTTTTGTCAATGGATTCAATGAGAAGGTACACAAAAAAGTCAATTTTACATATTTATACCATCTATACTACTATATAAAGTCTACACAAAATTGAATGAGGACTGTCACGTGTTTTACTTTTCTTAAAATATTCCAAACATAATAATTATTTTAAACTGTTTCAATTCTTACAGATCCATCTGCTTCAAATAACTTTCTTAGTTATTCAATTATTTCAAATAATTGTTATTTTAAATTTCACACACGTGTGAGTAACACCTTACCTTTAGTACATATATATATATATATATATGTGTGTGTGTGTGTGGGTAAATTACATTAACCTCCCTTGAGGTTTAAAGAAATTTCAGCAAATCCTACCCTTTTATACCAAATACATTTATATGACAAAATCATTTTTCATCTATGCAATTAACGAATTTTCAACGAAAATGAGGTTTGAGTGTTCAACAAATTAAAATCTTTAGAGAGCTGAGCGTAATTATGACAAATTTGTAGGTCTTATTTATTTTCTTCAAACCTTAAGATTTACCTCATATACATGTATATACTCAAATTCAAACGAATGCAGGACACACTGTATTATAACGACGTGGAAGAGAGAGAAGACGCGGGAACTCCACCAATAATCCAGAAAATAAGGGCAGCAATGGCATTCTGGGTTAAAGAGTACATAGGCTATGAAGTGATCAAACAACAGGAACACAAGCTCATAGAGAGAGCACTAGACAGGCTTCTTTCAAATCCAAACATATGGGTATTAGGAAATACCAGTGTCGAAAGGCAAGCCATCTTGTCCTTCCTTGTGTTCTCCACTTCAAATTATTCTAGAAATGACAACACAAGAGTTGACGGAGGAGGAGGAATTTATATGTGGAGAGAAGCTGGGAACATGAGAGATAAGCCGTTGCACGGGCCTTTTGTTGCAAAGCTATTCAATGACCTGTTTGGGATACAGGCACGAGGCGGTTGCGCTTGTGCTGGACCCTATGGCCACCATCTTCTACATGTCGATCAGCCTCACTCACTCGCCTTCAAAGCTGCCATTCAAAAGGTAACTAACCAACGACCAAGGATTCCCAGTCTCCAGATTTTCCCATCTCCTATTCCAAAACACTTACAACTATTGAATTATGTGAAATCTTAAAGTGCAAGAATCTCGAGACATAATCTAACAGATGATGTGAGTGTTTAGGGATAAGGAGTAAAAGGATTGGAGAACAAAGGATCCTATGCTCTAAACTACCTACCTGATGATTAGTATTAATTATTAACTAGTGGTTTTGATATAATAAATATATTAACCTGATTAATTACACATGTATGTATGGATACAAACCCCAACAGCAGATATAATGAAACCATCGTTACCGGAAAAAAACACTAGTACCCTGCTAATTTACGTTACCCAAAAAAAACACTAGTACCCTGCTAATTTACATTTTGGAATGCACATTCCAAAACACAATTTATTTCCCCAAAAAAATGATGAATTTAGCAAATCTTAAACGATTCCCAATTTTTTTTTGCCTATGCTTTTTCTTAAAAGATCTCCTTACGAGGAACAAAAATCAAATCAAATCATGTGAATTAAAATCTAGGAAGAGTAGAGTTTTGGAAGGAAAAAAGTATAGAAAAAAAGAGGGCTATAATGCTCCTAAAATTGTGTTTTATTAATTTTAATAAAATAAATTTTATTCTACAAGACATCTAATTATTGAAAGAAAAATGCTCACATATTTACTACTATCTTAAGTTCTAATAGCAAGTCTACCCCTATAGTATTGATATTTTATAGCATATGACCTATGTTCCCATTCCTCAAACTAGAACGATTCACATTTCAAAAAACATAGACTTCAGAAGGAAGAAAATGGAGAAAATAATAATGTATGATGTTGACAGGGATACAATGGAGTGAAGCCCGGATGGACAAGAATTAACTTGGCTTACTTCATAGCAATAGAGGAGTTTGAATTCATTCTTGCAGCCCTTGAATTCATAGCTATGTACGGCCAGAGATTCCTTCCCCTCTACGACTTCAACTGGAAGACAGGCGCTTGGACTATGAAGAAAAACTCAGTCAAAGAGATTGCAGCCATAAAACAAAGCAAGCCTGCGTTTAGCAACTCACTAATCACTCATGCTTTGCAAGCAGCAGCAGCAGCCAACTTTGAAGATTTTGATGAGAAAAAGAGTAACAAAGTCGGCAGCAATATTGATCCAAAGACAGTTGAATTGATAGACAAGTATGTGTCTTACTTGGAGACTGCTAAGAAAATTGCACATTCCCTCCCAAAGTTTCCACCACGTCGTAAGGTTCCCAAAGATATTGATCTTAACCTTGTACACTTTCGAGTTTAGCCAAATATGGTAACTTTCATTTCCAAGTAATGTCTATGTCAATATACCGTGTGTGAGAGTTATTCACTGTTGGTTGTGTTGTACAACCGCTAGTTGTATGTTGAATCCAAAGTGTGTGAGAGTTATTCACTGTTGGTTGTGTTGTACAATCGCCAGTTGTATGTTGAATCCAAAGTGGTTTTCATCTTTGTTCCAATTAAGCTAATTTCACTAGTGTATGCATTAAAAGCTACTTTGAATTCATATCAGTTAATTTTCTTAGTATTTAATTTTATTTCATTTAACACATGCGAAGAGATTTCAAGTACGTGGTTATATTTCGGACATTCCAAGTCTATGCTTCGTTACTCAAACACAATGGGTCCACCAATGAACAAAAACCTCTGATAAGAAACATGTACACCATGTCATTACTGAACGCTAATGTAATGGACCTTTCCATAACAAAATCAGTACTAGCAAATTTTATCCACAAGGGACTTTGCTCTGCCCTAATATAAAATAGAAACCAGGGAGACGAGACCAGTTTATCCTACGAAATGTTTTGTCATTCTTCAGATTTATTTATCTGAATAAAGCTACCACATTTCTAAATCATCTATACACTAGCAACATCTCCATGACATCATATTTAATGGTGTGTGTCTACTCAGACTCAAAATTAAGAACGTCAATTTAGAAGTTTCTTAACAATTCTCAGTTATTAAAAAACTTACCAGAGTTTACAACTGAACAGGTTGACAGAAATAACATCAACGTATCTCCAAAATATTCAACGAGGACTAAAGTCCGCATACTTTTTTATCTCCAAAATATTCAATATACTCACACATACTCATTTTGAACACAAACAAAACCCAGGAGTTTCTCAGTACAATAACATCAACTCAATGTTTTCCAAAATCCAGTACCTTTTTGTTACCTTGATAAGCCATATATCTTGCATTTTTGGCTCTTCAAGTTTATTCGGACTAATGCATGAAAATTTATTGTCAGACAAATAGATCCTGAATATCAAGAATATCAGCAATGACTCCAGCTGCTGTAGTATCATTGCCTGCTCCAGCACCTTGAATAACAAGTGGTTGTTGATTGTAACACCGGCTTGATATCTCCAACTGCACTTACATTGAAAAGAAATACTTAAATTACACATGTAAATCAAAACCATCTCTAAATCACCGGAAGGAATTAATAAGTGTAGGTACAATATCCAAGCATGGGAATCTATTTTGAAAGTTTTGTAGGAATTGCATAAGGATTCAGAAGAGGAGGTTTTTGCCTCCCGGAAAAGACTAAAGAGTTTAATTGCTTCAAGGATGAGAAGCAGAGTCAAGATAAAGCTGACCAAATGGTTAAATACACGCAGATAAAGCACATTTCATACTGTTATACTTTACTATCAGAGCAACAAGTTTCCACTGCAACAACTGCAAAAAGAAAGATAGACAAGATATGTATATGTAGCATGCCAAGCGATCTACTAGGCATAGAAATGGTGAATCATCTGCTCATTTTTTTGTACAGAATGCTGAACACTGTTACAATTCCCCTCAATTAGTATTGAACACCAAATATTGTAGGACACTTTTTGTGATTTTTGTCAATTTTATGGAATATTTAGTTGTGTATGGGTAGATTGGATAATTGATTACACTCAGTCAGCCCAGCCCACCGGATTCAACCTATGGTCTATTTCCGCTCGGGTATTATCATGAATCTATGTAGCACGGACACGGATACGGACACAGGACACGACACGGACACGTAAATACGCAAATTTTTAAAAAATAGGGGACACGACACGCTGGGGACACGTTTAATATATATAATTTTATATATATATATATATATATATTATATATAAAATTAAAAAATATATACTATTTTTATATTTTTATTTATTTATTATATGTAAAACTAAAAATATATACTATTTTTATTTATTTATTATATGTAAAATTAAAAAATAAATATATTATTTATGTTTATTTATATTATTTATTTACAAAAAAAGGTATAAAAAAGAAAAAAGAATAAAAAGAATAGGGAGGGAGTGACACGGTAATAAAGGAAGAGGGAAGAAAAAGTGAAGAGTCAAACAAAAAAAATGGGCGAGACAGAGCAAAAAGGCAACGGCGACGATCAGAGAGCGAGAGGCGAGAACAGAGAGAGAGGAGATGAAGACGATGAGAGACGAACACAGAGAGAGAGGAGACAAACACAGACACGAAAGAAATACCTCAATCAGAGACGAAGAGGATTCGATCTAGCCTCGATCTAGGCTTCAACAGGTTCTTCCTCTCTCTCTCTCTCTCTCTATCTTCAATGGGTTAGGGTTTCTCTCTGTCTCCTGGTTAGGGTTTCTTTCTATTTCCAACGTGTCCATGACGTGTCAAGCGTGTCTGAAAGGGTGTCCACCTGCAAAAATTCAAAAAAAAAATAGGGACTCGTTAGGTCGAGTGTCGGACACATGTCTACCGCGTGTCTGTGTCCAACACGTGTCCGACACCCATACGCTACCTCCAGAGACGTGTCCGTGCTTCATAGTCATGCATACATGTCTTAATTGCATATGAAAAAGGATTTTTGGGAAAAGAGTATTATTTTTCAGAAATAGAGTTAGAATTGGTCTCAAAACCAGTTTATCAATTGATCCCTCTTGGGAAGGGATCAATCCCCAAAAATCGTCACGGTTCAATAAATTTCCAGAGGATAGCAATTGCCTTGTTGGTTGTTTAATTAGACAGGAGTTCAAAAATTGAGAATCATATTAAATAACTATAATTTTGTGAAATTGGCCTATTCAGGCACAAAGGTCAGTACCAAAAAAAACTATAATTTCAAGTGTTTCTTTCTTTCGAACTCATGCAAATTCAGGCACAAAGGTCAGTACCAGAATTTTGTTCTGGTTGTTTCCAACAAGGCCACCAAAAGAAATCCCAAAAGACAAATATATTTACCAATTCTTCTAAACTATCATCTCATTATCAGTGGATATAAATCTACCAGTTCTTGTAATTATTGGACCAGTAAAATAATCACTGAACACATGAAGATACTAAAGAAAATGAACTACTGAAACATGATGTCCTAAATTCTCATCCATAACCACTGTGCAGGAAACAGAGTCACCAGATTTTCTCAGGATTTCAAGTCTGTAATCCCCAGAGTTTAAATATGTAAGTAGCAAGAAAATCATTTTAACAAAGAGAACACGAAAGTAAAAGGCAGAGAAAGGGGAAAAGGAGAAGTAAAGAGCACTTACCACATTGTCACTTCCTCTTAGTCTCCCCAAGGGAGAATTTTTTGGAAGCTCTTGAATGCCAACTTCACACCTACAAAAGAGGTAAGGCTTACATCCATGTGGAAAGAGTTGTATAAATAATGTCTAAACCATCAAGATTTATTTAACAAGATGACTCTGTTTCGTCCAAACACAAGGAATGGTGCTCACACTAAAACAAAGAGAGAAGTGGTCAAGTAGAGGGCTACAAGCAGAGGGCTTTGTGAAGAAAGTGATGCATGGTGGGACAGCTACAGTGTGGTTGGGATGCCTAGTTGCCAGCTAGCTCAGAAATTGAGAATCCTAAAATCTGATTTGAAGAGTTGGAACTTGGAGGTGTTTGGTCGGTTGGAGGTTCAGAACGCAAACATCTTGTCAGTTATGCAAGAGTTGGATGAGAAGAAAGCTGAGGGGACTCTATCTGAAACAAACTTGGCTTGCCGAGACGAGGTTTGGAAGGAATATGGGCAGATTGCTCAAATGAAGGAGATTAGCTTCCATAAGAAATCTAGATGCTTGTGGTTGAGAGATGGAGATCGCAATACGAAATTCTTTCACAAGATAGCAAATGCTCGTCAATGGGTGAATCAGAATAGGGAAAATTCGTGTCGATGGGGAGGTTCTGTCGTCGGAAGAGGGCATCCAGAATGGTATTGTGGGCTTCAATCAGCATTTATTCCGTGATGAAGGGGAAGTGTGGAGCCCGGGGTTGGATGGGATTGCCTTTGATGTTATTTTAGAGGCGGATGGTTTGATGTTGGAGAGACTGCTCACAGAGGAGGAGGTTTGGGGTGCTTTGCGGAGTATGCCAGGGGATAAGGTGCCAGGGCCTAATGGTTTCTCTATTACATTCTTCCAAAAGTGTTGGGGGGGTGGTGAAGGAGGAGGTAATGGCTACGTTTGAGCAGTTCCACCAAACAGGGTAGTTTGAGAAGAGCCTTGATGCAACTTTCATTACCCTAATCCCTAAGAAGGGAGGGGCGAAGGATATCCGAGACTTCAGGCCGATTAGTCATCTGGGCAGTGTTTATAAGTTGTTGGCTAAAGTCTTACCTAATAGGCTTCGGGGCGTGTTGGAGAGGGTGGTGTCAAAGTCTCAAAATGCCTTTGTGGGTGGACGTCAGATTTTGAATGTTGTGTTTGTGGACAATGAGTGTGTGAACTCGTCGCTTCGACAAGGGAATGAGAGAATTATCTGCAAGTTAGATATTGAGAAGGCTTACAATAACGTGAATTGGAGGTTTCTGTTGTATGTGCTACAGAGGATGGGGTTTGGGGAGAGGTGGAGGCGGTGAGTTCATTTTTGTATCTCCACTCTACGAATGTCGGTCTTGGTTAAGGGGACGCCAGCGGATTTCTTTCCTACATGGAGGGATTTGCGACATGGTGACCCTTTGTCTCTTTTATTGTTTATTTTGGTCATGGAGACTTTAAGTCGATTGTTATTCAAAGCAGTTCAGAGGGGTTTGTTATCGGGTTCTGAGGTTGGGATGGGCCTGCTGCTTTGGTGGTGTCTCATCTCTTTTATGCTGATGATGCACTTATCTTCTGTGATGCGGATGCAGCTCAGATTGGTCACTTAAGGTGTGTGTGTTTTGTTATGTTTTGAAGCGGTGTCAACGCTTCGAGTTAATTTAGGGAAGTCGGAATTGATTCCAGTGGGTGAGGTGGGCCGGCTTCCAGTGTTGGCAGCCATTCTGGGGTGTAAGGTAGCTATGTTACCGGTGTCTTATTTGGGACATCCATTGGGAGCTACTTTTAAGGTGAAAATGGTGTGGGATGGAGTGGTAAATAGGGTGCAACGGCGTTTGGTGGGGTGGAAGCGGCAATATTTGTCTAAAAGATGGTGGATTACGCTAATCAAGAGTGTCCTTTCTAATATCCTAACATATTTTATGTCAATGCATGTGATTCTTGTGTCGATTGCAAAGCGGTTGGAGAAGTTACAACGGGATTTCTTATGGGGTTGGGGGGGGGGAAAGGGGTTTTGTTATCATTTGGTGGCTTGGGAAAGGATCTGCACTCCTAAGGAGATAGGGGGGTTGGGTGTGAGGAGGTTGGTTGTGTTTAAGCGGGCTCTTTTAGGAAAGTAGTTGTGGCGTTTTGTGGAGGAAAATGAGCGGTTGTGGAGGAAGGTGGTTAAGTATGGGTTAGACATGGGGGTCGGTGTTCGGATAGGGTGGGTCACTCTCATGAGTGGGGTTTGTGAAAAGGGGGATTTGGTTGGGTCGAAAGGAATTTTGGCATAGAGTTTGGTTTAAAGTGGAGGTGGGGGATAGGGTTCGTTTTTGGCATAACAGGTGGTGTGGGGAGCTATTGTTGGTGAGTATGTTTCCATTAATATATGTTATTGCTGCTGATTGAGAGGAGGTGGTTGTTTCGGTGTGGATTAGGCAAGGGCAATTGTTTGTCTGGAATGTTCATCTATGACGTGATGTTCACGATTAGGAGGTGGATTAGCTCGTGGACCTTCTGGGATTTCTATATGTGGCGAAGATGGGATGGGATGGGATGGGTTCAACTCTTTGGTGTGGGATTGTCCGAGATCTAAAGGGGTTTTCTCGGTGTCTTCGTTCTATGGTGTGCTCGTGGGTGGTGAGGTTGCTATCTTCCCTTAGAGGAGTATTTGGGCGACGGGTTCTCCGTCAAAGGTAGCTTTTTTTGTTTGACAACTACTTTAGGTCACATTCTGACTATTGACAGCTTAATTCGTCGACATGTGTTGGTAAGTCGGTGTTGCATGTGTTGTGGTCATGCGGAAACGCTGAATCATTTGCCCATTCATTGTTTTGGTTGCGTATCGGTGATGGAGCTCGATTGTTGCTTTGTTGGGTTTAGCTTGGGTGCAACCAGGTTTTGTGTTGGATGTGGCTCAAAGTTGGGGTGGGGCTAGGGTGGGGAGGAGGCGTCAGAAGGCTTGGCTTCTTGCTTCTCATTGTTTGTTGTGGTTGGTTTGGTTGGAACGTAATAGGTATGTTTTCTAAGATATGTGTCATTCAGTTGTGCTTAGAGAGTAGGCTTTCGTTTGTCTTGAATAGTTGGGTTACAGGTTTAGTTGATCCCAATATTTTGGTTTTTGTAAATTTTGTAGAAGACTTGACTAATTAGGTTGTCGGGTGTTTATCTTTTGGTATTTTTTGCATCATCTTGATAATTTTCTAATAAAGTTCGATTATTTATCCTCCCCAAAAAAAAAAAGGAGAGAAGTGGATTTCATGTAATTTTATGAGGTAAAAAACACCCTTGCTCTTCCACATTGAAATTTGAGACCGCTTACTAAAGGTCAATTCATAGAACATACTTCACCATATATTAAACTTCCAAGACTTGATTGAAACAGAAATATAAAGTACCTTGAGTCCTCAATCACGCAAACATAACGGAGCACATTGCCATTTGAAGAAGCCCTTTCAACCCTCTCTTGGATGCCTTTATCAAGCAGTGGAAGGCCATCCACCAAAAAATCTTCAACATGCATTATATTTGGTCCCATTTCTTCAGGATACAAGCTTTCAACCTATAAGATTAAAGTAGAAACTACATATAAATCTGGTCATACTTGATTTGAAAGTGGAGATATACAAGTATATCATCTCAATGTCCAAACCTTTATGTTGTCCAAGTCAATCCGCTGACCAAGAAGACGAGCAAGGATCAAAGCCTGTCTTCAAATAGAAAAACTAGTGATCAATACATGACATGAAGCAACATATCTTAAAACTATCTCAAATAAAACTACGTAGTGTTTTGTATTATCTACTTCATCAGTGACAAGGTTTCATCAGAAGAGGATAAAAATAATAATTTGAATTAGTTTTGAAGTTAGAGGATTGCCCATTGAACAAGAACTATTAGATTTTTTTAACTTGCAAATCAACTACTTCAAGGATATCATCACTCTGAACAATATTGAGATTGCTTCATATTTTGCACAAGTCGAACAGGAAACAACTAGGAGATCTCAGTTGCTAGAATGCCAGTCAAACCATAATTTTTGTTTATAAGCCAGAACTACTCCAAATTGAGTAGTATAACAGTTGCTGCACACTTGTCACTAATCAAATTCTTCCAATCTGTACAACACACTAGGTGTCACATTACACAAGTAAAACATTAAAGTTAATAATAGAACTAAGCCTTCCGCATATGTGTACCATTTAGTAACAATATGTTTATGATGTATCCTCAAACAGAATACTTTCTTGAAATTAGTTTCACCTCAGCTAAATGCAAGTGATTTTATGGAAGGAGGGCAGGGGCTCAACAAATTCCTGAAAAAAAATACAGACCTTTCTTGCTACATCCATCCCGCTGAGATCGTCACGAGGATCTGCGAGAATAAATATGAAATCAAATTAAGCATTTCTTTAATCAAAAGTATTTCTCTTAAAATTCTAGAACAATCTTACAGAAGAACAGAACTAAATACAGTAACACAATGATCAAACTGTAATTAGATGCCATCAATGAATCTAGCTTTTTCAAGCAGCATCCGCAGGTAAAGTAAAATCATTGAGATACCATTGGAGTAAATGAAAGTCGTAACAACCATAGTATAGAAACAGCTCTGCTATTCAATGAAACAAACCTAGTTTAATATAACACCATCAATTATGGCCAAAATTCCTATATTGGCCTAATATGTTGATGCATTTGTGAAAAACATATATATACACACATCAAAACATATATAGGGAGATTCAATTTCTGCTGACATCCCTTGGTAAACCCAACTACAATCTTCTATTTCTTTCTAGAGCAAGGTGCATCCTTACGAATGTGTATCTAGCTGGTCTGTTATAAACTGTCAACCATACATGAAATTAACAACAATAAATTTTTAAAAAATATATATAAAAAACACACAAACAAAAGCATACAAAACTAATTTTAACACACAACTAATAAACAAAATTGAAATTAGAAAGTGCATTTCAGTTATGTTTACATGCATCAACTGCAAAGTACACATTTATTCTGTGTATCTTCAAAAAAAAATCTGGAACTTCACCACAATTTAAAATAAAAAACACATGTTGGCTTTAGAAATTCTACAAAATAGCACTCCAGTGTGATTTATGCAAGATTCTTTCACAATAAGACAGGGATTCCTCAATGTCATTCAGATTTTTATTCAACCTTCAAAGTACAGAAACAGAACATAGCACAAAAAGATTCCCCAAAGGAAAACAAACCATGGGGCTCAAAAGGACATTAATTGTATGGAAAGAAAAAGAAGAAGATTTTTAAAGGAATTTTCCTTTTCACATGCACATATGGAAAGAGAAAAGAGAGCAGAAAAATGAAAGGAAGGAGAAGAAAAAGAAGAGGGGGAACCACAGATAGAGAGCTCAATTGCTTCTCATTTTTTTATTTGGGTTAATTATAGAGTAAAGCTAACCTAGAAAGTAAGTACCCAAATCATATCATACCCAGTAGGATAACATGCAAGGCCTCAAATTTTTTCCATACACAAGCTACTAAAAACACAAATACATAGCAATATTTTATCGAAGATCCCTAATAGGCCGAATGACTACCCGTGTTAATTGAAAATCATCTTCCTATGAATCAACTATGAAATGACTCAAATGCTTCATTATAGCAATCTGCTGCAATCAAAGGGCTGTGACATTAGGTTGCAACACAGTCCCATGGTTATGATAACAATGCATATGATCTAAGAACTTCTTACTTGTATTGTCTACATCAATGATTGCCATGTCGAACACTTGTTCAGACAAGACGTATCGACTCATGCAACCCCTCTTTGAGCACTTAGAGAAGTGCCCTTTCTCAGCTAAAAACAGCTGCTGAAGAACCAAATGAATTATAATGTGTTACAAGGTCGCCAATACAAATCTCAACTTTCTTCACAATTATTTTATTCTGATTTTTCCATGTAGACAAAACTAACCAACAAGGACAACTATTAACACTTCAACGCGTGTAGACAAACATATAATTATATTTAACATAGCATTTAAGAAAGCAAACCTACAAATACACAACTATACATTGTGTGCCAGGGTGTAGATTTTGGGAAGATTGTAGCGTCCGGCACCATAATTCATTCCAAAATGCAATTACTTCCATCTATTTATTTGTTAATAATGGACCAAAAAAAGTTAAACTGTAAGGACTGGATCCCTCTTTGATGAATAGATTACGAATTTGCCCGGCCTTTTCTTCTTCAATGCAACAATCTCCAATATGAAGTGACACTAGGTCTAAATATTGGTTCTGCACTACCTGCCAAAACCTCACAACGCTCATGCTGCTCTTGTGGCTGAATCAAAATGCCAACATAATGAATCCCAAAAGTAGCTTAAATAAATTTTAGGTATCAAGAAACTATGATGGCATGAAGTAAAAAACAGTTTATGAATGTATTAAGAAAGATATATCTTTCTTTCTTTCTTTCTTTCTTTCTTTTTAGAAGTATAATCTCAACAAGGATGAGGCACCAAGGGGGGTGCAACCCATATACCAAATAAAAAAAAAACATGAGCTCTACCCACTATACCTCAAAATGTACTCGAAAGTCTCTGCAAAATCCAAAAATTAGTTCAAGGGCGGGTTAGCCAACCCTGAGAACCAACTATACAAAAAAGAACGCAATTTTTCCTGAATACTCAAAATTTATTCTTCTTTACCAACGAAAGTTTTTTGGTTGGTTCCTTTCACCCCAAACCAATCACATCAACGCCGACAGGATCAAATTCCACGACTTCCTTTTCCCCTTCCCTAACCAAATTCCCCTCCAAGAAAGAAGTTGCCTCACCTCTCTAGGGAATACCCAATCTATGACAAACAAACCAAGAATTAAGGCTCACAATTCCTGCGCCACCTCACAATGAATTAGAAAGTTGCCTCACAAAAGTTTTTTGGTTGGTTCCTTTCACCCCAAACCAACCACATCAACGCCGACAGGATCAAATTCCATGACTTCCTTTTCCCCTTCCCTACCCAAATTCCCCTCCAAGAAAGAAGTTGCCTCACCTCTCTAGGGAATACCCAATCTATGACAAACAAACCAAGAATTAAGGCTCACAATTCCTGCGCCACCTCACAATGAATTAGAAAGTGACTCGCTGATTCCTCGTTATACTTGCACATACAACACGAATTGATGTTGACGTACACTTGCCTCCATCTAATTACGTTATCAATGGTAAGAATCTTTCCATTCATGGTACACCAAACAAAGAATGCCACCTTAGATAGAGCCTTAGAATCCCAAATCCGTCTGCACATGAAGGTAGACCACTATCACCCATCAGAGTAATGTAATAAGACTTCACATAAAATTGGCCTGAGGAAGACTTAAGCCATTGAACTGACTGAATCACCAACATCCAATACGGAACTAATAGAGATGATTAAGGAGATCCTCAATCATAAAGCTCTCTTTGAAGGCCAATATCCCGAAATACCTGACCATCAAGCAACTGCAGTAGCCATTGACTGAGGCCTCCCTATCACTAGCAATGCAAGCAACAATAGGAAACGCATCCTTCAAACCTCCACTAACAATGGCTTTAGAACCTAACATGTTCCCTACTCCCTACCACAAATTGAATATGCTCAGAAAAAGTGTCCCACTCACTTTTAATTCCTTTGCACAGACCAACACCACAAAATATTTGCAAGAAACCACCTTTCTCCAATATATCGCCCTTCACACAAATTTTGGATCCAAATACAAATTTTCTTTATTTTACCTAACATGTAAAATATCAATTTTGTAACTGTAACATGTATATCGAATTCTTCTATCCTGTTAACATAGAATACAGACTAAAATAAAGTAGCCAATGAAATATAAGTATGCAAATATTCCATCGGTTGTTAAAACTATTCCAGGGAACTACTCAAAAAGTTTTCTTTATATCAGACAAAATGTTCCATCTATTTGAAAAATGAAGTTGTTAACTCTCTTTGTTCATTTCATGTTTTCTATAGCTGACGAGTTTTCCTTAAAAATAATAATAGAAAATAAAATTCCTTAACCATAATCAGGGAAAACTCCAAAAAAAAAATCACATTCATTTGTACAATGGCCGGAAGTCACTCACTTTCCTATAACAAATTAGAAACTGATGGCAAAAAAAAGATATATGGTAACAGAAATCCTTCGATGGAGAACAAAAATTTCAAGAAACAAACAAACAAACAAGAAATGACCAAGCATCATATATAGATATCAAAGTAATGTATAACACAAAATTCTTACAGAATATATACTTTCTGTCAAAAAGTTTAAGAAACAAATAAATTCATTAATCTAATACTAATAAAATGCCATAGGAACTTTGAATTAAGCTCACAGTGTTCATTGTCTTGCCTTTTTCTTTTCAACAAAAAATGGAAACGAGTAACAGGAATAGACAAACAGTCAAGGTAAAAAAGACCTTATAATTGACGATTTGGACCCATATCACTAATTATTTAGATATGGATTTTCTATACCAAGAAGAATCCTAGAATTCAGCTAAACTGATTTATTAAAACGGTAACATCATAAATTATTAAACCTGGTTCAGTGTAACCAAGGCTTTTAGCAGATTTGACAACTTGGCTGAATGGCTTTCCACCTTCTACCTCGCTCATTACATAACCCAACGTACCTATTCACATACAAGGATATGAAACAAAACGATAAAATTACAACTTAAAAAACAAAGCATGTTTGATATATGCAAGCAAACATGAAGAAGAAATAAGACATTTCAAAAAAAAAATTAAAAAATAAAAATAAATGCTATACCACTTAAGCTCCCAATGATATGGTGCACGGGATCTCCAGATGAAAGTATACGATTTAAGGATGCTATAACAGGGAGGCCAGCACCAACCTGCCAGTTGTCATAGCATGAAATTATTATTTTTTATTAAATATCACAGCATGAAATTATGCAGACTATAAATGATTAATCCTATCAAGCTCAATTTTTATAAACAAAAACTAACAGAAACAATGAAATTTTTAGAGTTATAGGAGAATCAGAAGCAGGTTTACGGAGCAAGATCTACTCAAGATAAATGGTTTTTCCTAGATGAAACAACTAATTGGCCAAAACTATCTAGAAGAGTTTATATTAAAAACAAGACTCCATAAAGAGGTTTCCAATTTATTACAAACAGTGTCTTCCAAGTACCACCAAAACCGCTTCCAATTTATTACAAACCGCTTACAAACAGTGTCTGGAAGACATTCATAAGTCATAACTGGTTGAATGCTAATATTGGCAGACCCATCTCTACATCAAACAGAAAGCATACAAGCTGAAATATTTAAACCTACATTAAGAGACTTTATACATCTTAACTGGTTCGTAATTGCAGTAATATGTGAAAGAATGCAACAATGTATTTCAATTTAGTATAATTTCATCAACTGAATCACAATTTCAGTCTTGAATATTAGCTCTAAAAGACAAAGAAGAGATTAGCAAAAATTTCAGTTTTGATCTGCAAGTCATAATCATCTGTCCATTCACTATTGCACAACAGTAGTCTCCGACCATCACATTCATATTTTATCTATGTTCCAAGGTGTAAAAGCACTTCTATTTGCACCAACCAAGTAAAAAGCACACTCACAGTTGACTCATGTCGAATGCGACGTGGATATGCAAGCAACTTATCATAATCTTCCTGCAACCCAGACAAAAAATAACTTTTCTTCAGACAACAGAAATGTAAGCAGATGAAATATTATATGAAATTTTTCCCCACAATTTGTCATGGTAAGCAGAACAATCAAACAGCAACCACATACTATCATTACCTTTATCACAAACAGAAACATCAAAAGGCATCCATTAATAGGGTGCGTAAGAAGTACATAAAAGGATTAGTTACCATTGAAGAAGTAAGAGGCTTCTTATTGGCCATCACAACACAACAACCCAAATCTACCACTCGGTTTAGCACTCCAATAGTCTCAGAACTGGCAGAGCAATCAATGAATGCCAAACCTGTTGCAACAATTATTTCTTGCAATCATTCCAGAGTGATCTGAGGCTGAAATTATGACGTACAAACTCTAGCTCAAGATATATGGAGACAAAGTTGTATGCTGGCACATCTTTTTTAAGTTCACATGGGATAGTAAACAGAACACATGCTGGGAAGATAAACTGATATGTCACCACCTTATGCAACACCATCTCTAAAAGTTTGGTAACGTTCAAACGCACAACAAGAGAACCAACATTACAGCTCAAATGTGCACAAACCTGTAGATCTACCCAGAAGAGTTGCGACATCGATGATTTTTCCCATAGCTTCAGGGTTCGAAAATACCTTGCATTGACCTATACAAGTACCCGACAATAACAAGAAGTGTAAGCATGTTGATTGGCTTTGATAAGCCAATAGCACTAGTTTGAGCTTTTTCAGTTTTTTGTTGTTAGTATGCTAATATATCATTTATAAAACACCAATTACATATACATATAAGAAAAGGTCAAAGATCAGACAAAAATTTATTCTTCAAATAATTCTTTCTGTAAGCCTAAATAAAAGAAGCCATAAAATAGTATTCCATACTCATTGCTATTTGTTTATTTTTAATCATATATTAAGAAAAAACAAAAAACAAAACAAAATGGAATTACCTAAATTACCAAGTGTCAGTAGCAAAGAGCCTTTCAACTTGACGTGGCAAACTTCTGTCAGAGAGGTATCATCCAACTCCATTGTGAGCACATCTGATGCAACAAGTAATGATTTACTATCACATACTCCCACAACACGCAAGTGCACTCCCTGTCAATCAAGTATAGAATACTCAAAAATTGCTATCCCCAAATTAAATTTGTCAAAAATATAAGCATAAAATTATTTATATTTCATATCTAACCATGTTTTGTATTTGAAGAGGTCAATCTAATATTGAAACTTCAAACAAGCACATAAGATTATGAGTGGCACCATTGAAGCTTGAGAGAAGGACAAGCTTAATTGCCCATGCTTTAACGAATTCCCACATCACCCTAATCTTAAAAAATTAAAAAATTCAAATCATAAAAAAGAGAATGTAAAGTTAAGATAGCCATCAAACAAAAATCCATCCTACAAATGGCAAGCCTTAAGGAAGGTCATGCCATCAAATGCACAATTTATTTAGTTATTGAAGGGAAAATCTACACAAATGTCAAATTACCAGAATTACAAATTTTCAGATCAAACATAAATCCATAGACCTTACACATTCCCCGGTATTCTGTACAACTCATCAGTTGGGCTTAGATGTAAGTATGCACAAGCGCAAAAGACACTCATAAATCATAGAAGTCAATGTTGTTGAAACCAAGACACAGTCTTGTTGCATTATATTCCCTTTCCACTTAATTCAAATAGCATAACAAACTAATACAGTTGTAGACACAAATTTTAAAACATGAAGTGTTTCAACACATTTCAAAATTTTATGTTACAAATGTCCACTGTTTAGTTTTTTTAACTAAACAGTGTTGATTATTTGAATAGCAGGTTCTTATTTCCGATCTGTATTTCAGATCGTTAATTACACATTTTATACAAATGAAACCTCCAATTAATGAAGAACAAAATAAACAACAAATGAAAAATTAAAAAAAGAAATATTTTATTGAGATTGTTATGGATTTTGAACCCTCGAATACAAAATACAGTTTGGGTTTGGAACCCTTTACCTATTCATCGCCATTAGCGTAGGCTCTTGAGTTCTTTAGGCTTCTCTTCTTCTTTCTTGTAACGATTTGTTTAGCTCTCAATTTCTTTCTCTCTCTCTCTCTCTCTAATCTTTTCACTTCTGATTTTCTGATCCCCCGTCTTGTGTGATGGTCCTCATATTTATGGAGGGCCATCAGGTGATAGAAATGTTTCATCTTTAATTTGAATTTCAAATTGAATGATAGCGCCGTTTAAATTTTGAATAATAGCGCTATCTGATTAATCGTATATCTGATTAACCGGATTGATCTTTGGGGTTTCATCCTGTGTGGTGTCCTTACTGTGGGCTCTACAGGTGTCATCTTTCGTAGGCTCCACGTGTCATTTGAGCATCTTGAATAACGTCGTTAAGATACGACGTTGTTTTATTTATACACTTCAACGGAGCAAGTTAATCATTTTGGGAAGTGATTGCCTACAACAATCTTATCGTAGGCTCAATCTGTGTCATTGACTGTATTTGAAATTTAAACATAAATTTGGTTTGAAATTTATGTGCCAACAAATGCCCCTCGTGACTTACACAAGTGAATTTTCTTAACTGTGCGAGTCACGACAATTTGGCACTTTTATCTGGATGATCTGTAGGTCTTGGATGGGATTATTTCTTTGCTTTGGTCCCTAGCCTTTTTTTTTTTTTTTTTTTTTTTTTTTTTTTCATGAGCCCTTTTACTTTTGTTGCATGGGTCCTTTTACTTTTGTTGCATGGGTCTTTTTGTGGACTTGATCTTTTTCATTTTTTATTTTTTTAATTTTCTTGTTATTTTTTTGTTTTTTGTTTTTTGTTTTTTTTTTAAGGGTCATGAGTATGGTCCAAGATTTAATTGGACATTTCCTTTTGTGGGCCTCCAACTTGCCCACCATTTTTTTACAGCAGATTTTTCCTAGGTCATTATGAATTATTCCTTTTATAGGCCACCATTTTTAATTGAGTCTTTTCTTTTGTGGGCCTCCAACTTGCCACCTTTTTTTTTACAACAAATCTTTTTTTTTTTTTTTTATGAATTTTCCTAGACCATCATGGACCTTTCCTTTTATAGGCCACCATTTTTAATTGGGTCTTTTCTTTTGTAGGCCTCCAACTTGCCATCTTTTTTTTTTTTTACAACAGACTTTTTTTTTAGGCCATCATGGACCTTTCCTTTTCTAGGCCACCAATTTTTTTTAAATTCGGTCTTTTCTTTTGTGGGCCTCCATCTTTTTTAAGGGTCATGAGTAAGGTCCAAGATTTAATTGGACATTTCCTTTTGTGGGCCTCCAACTTGCCACCATTTTTTTTACAGCAGATTTTTCCTAGGTCATTATAAATTTTCCTAGACCATCATGGACCTTAACTTTTATAGGCCACCATTTTTAATTGGGTCTTTTCTTTTGTGGGCCTCCATCTTGCCACCTTTTTTTTACAACAGACTTTTTTTTATTTTTTTTTTATTTTAGGCCATCATGGACCTTTCCTTTTCTAGGCCACCAATTTTTTAAATTGGGCCTTTTCTTTTGTGGGCCTCCAACTTGCACTTTTTTTTACAACAGACTTTTTTTTTCTAGGCCATCTGGACCTTTCCTTTTCTAGGCCACCAATTTTTTTTAAATTGGGCCTTTTCTTTTGTGGGCCTCCAACTTGCCACTTTTTTTTTTTTTTTAGGAGATATATATATATATTAGGAGTTTGTCTAAATGGAATATGATGGATTGACATTGGTAGGATTTCTAATCCTACACAAACTCTTGCTTCTATGGAGTATTTCAAATCCTACCTAAACTCTTGCTTCTTTGAAGTATTTTAGGAGACCACTACCTCCTTTCTTAAGCAAGAAATTTTTTGCTTATATAATACATATCCATGCATGTGGACAATAGATATTTTCCCTCCTACAACTTTGTTCTTCCAGCAGAATTTTATTTCCAGCAATTTTTCAGTAGCCCTTTTTATTCTGCAAATTTTGTAGTGCATATTAGGTCTTCATCCTTCAAAAGTTGTCTAGCCATTGTCTTTCTTCTTTCCCCAAAAGAAGGCACAAAAGAATTCCTTCAAATTCCTTTTAATCAGGTATACTTTCATCATAATATTTGTTGCTTTCTTTTCACCCCTAGTTTTTACTGTTGCCATTTTTTTTTGCTGCTGCCAGAAGAAAGTTTTAACACCCATACCAACTTCATGGATGTCACACTCATAAATTCTAGATGTTTTTTAGGGCATAAGATTTCTTTTCTTCAAGAAAGAACATAAAGCAGCAATCTGTCTGGTTTTCTCTTTTCTTTTGTGTCTACAACCTTTTTTTAAAGAACATAAAGCAGCAATCTGTCTGGTTTTCTCTTTAACCAGATTTTTTTTTTTTTTTTTAAGACTGTTTTGAGCAACAACTTGTTTTAAGCAACAACCTGTTTTAACCAGATTTTCTTTACACAAGGCATAAGATTTTTTTTTAACTCTCTTTAGCAGAATTTTAAGCAAGAACCTGTTTGGTTTGTATTTATATATATATATTTTTTTTTTACTCACAGTAGAATCAAGTAAGCAGATTTTTTTAAATTTTTTTTTTTTTCTACTGCTGCCATACCATGCTTTTCTTCTCTCTTTTTTTTTTTTTTGCTAACCATGAGCCCAAACAAAGACTTTTCTTGTTTAAAGAAAAACTTGCTATACCCTTTTTTGTAACAGCATATATTTGTTTATTTAGCAGATTTTGCTAAATCCAAATATGAATACTAAACCCAAATACAAGCAGACTTTTTTTTTGAAAATCGAATTTTTTAAGCCTGCTACCTTTTATTTTATGTTGTATTAGTAGCAGCCCTTTGTACACTTGGCCAATTTTTTGTTAAAAGTCAAATCAGCCTTGCCCCTCGTGATTCGTGCGAGTGAATTTTAATCGTACGAATCATGATGATTAATTTCTGTTTTTATTTTATTTTATTTTATTTTATATTTGTCTTTTTAAACAATTATTTCATGTCTTTTATCTCTTTTGCAGGCAACACACAAGGCGTCAGAGTTTGTTTGCAGGTATCATTGCCCTTTCCAACCTAATGGCAATGAGTGGCTTGAATCCTTGGCGGTGATTGTGTCCTTCACCCCAATGGGTTGACTCCTTGGCAGTGAATGTGTCCTTCACCCCAATGGTTTGAAACCTTGGCAGTGATTGCGTCCGTCACCCCAACGGTTTGAATCCTTGGCAGTGATTGTGTCCGTCACCCCAACGGCTTGAAACCTTGGCAGTGATTGTGTCCGTCACCCCAACGGGTTAAAACCTTGGCAGTGAATGTGTCCGTCACCCCAACGGCTTGAAACCTTGGCAGTGATTGTGTCCGTCACCCCCAACGGCTTGAAACCTTGGCAGTGATTGTGTCCGTCACCCCAATAGGTTGAATCTTTGGCAGTGAATGTGTCCGTCGCCCCAACGGCTTGAAACCTTGGCAGTGATTGTGTCCGTCACCCCAACAGGTTGAAACCTTGATAGTGAATGTGTCCGTCACCCCAACAGCTTGAAACCTTGGCAGTGAATGTGTCCGTCACCCCAACGGCTTGAAACCTTGGCAGTGATTGTGTCCGTCACCCCAATAAGGCCCTTTTTTCACAAATATTTTTTATAAACAATTTAGGATTAAAGGAAGTACTTGCAGATTTTTTTTTTATTTTTATAAACCACATAAACAACTGTTTATGCTACTATATATATGACTACGCACCAAGTTAATTTACTTCATTATTTATTTGTGAGAACATGAATACATCATGGACGCATCATCATCGGAGGGGCTGGTGAGGACGGCTGGCAGACAGTTGGATTTTGTTCCTACATTTTCAATTTATGTAAACAAACAAGTTTTGATTACTTTAACGGGATTTTTTGCCATAACTCATTCATAGAGATAATTTTTTGGCTTATAGACTCTTCCAAAATAAAAATAAAAAAATCTAGTAAGAAGGACAAAAAATTTCAAATTTATATTTTATGTGACAAATTTATCCCTTCACACACATACACTCCATCTTTTCTAGTTTGTCATCTCTCTCTTAGCTCTTTCTTTCTCTATCTCTTTTTAAGAGCTCTCTCCACCCCCACCACCACCGTCTACACCACCACCACCACCATCTCCACTGCCATGACTACCACAACCACCATCATTTCCATTATCTCCACCATCTCCACCAACACCGTCTTAACCACCGGCGTCGTTCGTCACCGCCACCGTCACTACCGTTTCACTTTGTTTGTTATGGCTAAAATAGTCTATTTTATTTTTTGTGGCTAAAATAACCAAAAAAGCCTGCAAACTCACTTGCCAAACACAGGCTTAGAAGTAGTGATATCAAATTTAATGAAATAAATCATTTTTCACTTAAATTTAATGAAAAAAAAAATTCATCGTGGGAAATGCTCTAATAGGGCTCTATTAATGCGCCTTGCCCTAACATGTTAGGCCCTTTGCCTTGCTTTTGGGAATTGGCATACCCTAAACAACTAGGGTTAGAATTTTTTAACGGAAGTATGGCCCCCAACTAACCCTTTTTTTTTTTTTTTTTTTTTTAGGAAGCATGGAAAAGACACTCGAATATCTTCGACGTGACGAGAGGAATGTATTGGATAAATCTGGTTCGAAAATAATTCGGCACAAACCTATCACTGCTTTATTGTCACCTACCGAGTTGGACCCCTACATCCCTTTACATACGGCTTCCGAAGACTTGGTCTACACAGGAATTCGAAACTACTGTGAGATTCTCGAGAAAGGGCACTCCAAATTAATCGGTTCATTCCCTGTCTCAATCCTCCGTCCATTTTCTGAAGACCTTGACTGCTCTGAATTTAATACTCTTCTTAAGAGAATGAAACATGAAAATTTGAAGTGGGATAATTCTTTTAATGTCCGCGGTATTTCTACCCATTTGCAATCCCCTATATGGATTTTTTGGTTGAATGACCTTATTTTGAAGAAGTGTGGGATTTATGCTGCAATCTATGTATCCCAATTTGCTTATGCTAGGAATGTTGCCCTGCTCAAAGGATTCTTAGAGCGGTGGTCACCCGACACCAACACTTTCCACACCATTTACGGCGAACTTGGGATCTCTTTATGGGACCTTCATCGCATTAGTGGGCTCCCCATCCGTGATGAGTTTTATGAGGAGTTCGTCCCCTCCAATGACATTCTATATTCATCCCAAACATCCAAGGCATGCCGTGGGCTTTTCAACATTTATGCCAGCTCTTCTCAATCCAAGAAGTTTAACCACTGGACTTTCAAATTCATTGATGAATCCCCAACTTCGATTAGTGGTTTTCAACGAAAAGATAGAATTCCTGATGATGTGTATCTTTCTGGTTTTTTGGCGAGCTAGCTTAGCGGATTTGTCTTCCCTCACTCTTCCGGGGAAATTCGTCCGACGACCTTTCATGTAGCCACCAAAATGGCAGGTGGAACCTTATTTAGTCTGGCCATCCCCGTCCTTGCATACCTCTATCATTCTCGTGGTAAAATGGCATCATCATCTTCACCTGGCAAAGAAAATATTCAGGGTCCTTTACATTACCTTTTTGGATGGATTTCATTATATTTTGTTAAGACTTACTCTCATGGGGATCCTCAGTCGATTTGTCCAATTTCTGATATTCATTTCATGCCATATCTTAGGTTTATTGGAAACCAATCGGCTGCCCAGTTTTTTACTGATAAGTTTCCATTTGTGGATTCTCTCCTAACTTATCGTACGGAGTGTCAGTTTAGGGCTCTTACCCATGAAAGTGAACCTTCAGGCGTTCTGGTCGACTCTGAAAGGATATCACCATTCCACCTTGGCTATCTTATATCTTTGAGGCAAGGGATTTTAACTTTTAAAATGGGATTTAATTTCATTTCTGAACCGTACTCCCCTAGTCGATATGGTCGTCAATTTGGGTTTGCTCAAGCGTGCCCTACACGGCTCAATGTATCTTGTCAGCAGCCCTCTGAATGGTCTAAATTTTATTACAACTGGAGCCATATGCTACGTTGCGGTACAAAAGTCTCATTGGAGTCACTAGGCTCCCAATCTACTTCTCACGTAACCATGCCTTATGCCAATTGGTGGCTGGGAACTTCCTTTACCGTGCTTCAATATGTTACTCATACCTAGCCGAAATCTTCACACAAGAGAAAACTGGATATGTCAATTAAAGACCGAAAGACGAAGAATCCTCCTTACTCTAGAGCTAGGTCATCATCTTCACCTATTGCTCTGGAAGCATCATCACCTCAGAGAATGGATAATAGTCGACCACTTATTGCTCCTTCTCGATCTAGTTACTCGGTTTCAGATCTCCTTCATCTTTTCGAGGATATGTGTAATTCTCAATTTAAAATGAGATTTAGCTTTGAGCAAGTAGATTCTGGTCCTCAATTTTCTAATCTCGCAAAGCTTTTTCCAGAGACTATGTTTATCAGTGATTGTACAAGAACTTCCCAACCCACCGTAGCGACCAAAACCCCAATGGATCAATTTCGCACATACTTGTACTCTTTTCTTGAAGATAAAGATGAGAATATGATTCAAGAACTCTTTGAGGGAGATGGGTATGAATTAACTGCCTTGGGTCGTATTCGCATTAAAAGTGTTGAAATTCCTTCTCCTACCAAATCTTTTGATTGCTCTCTCAATGGAAGTAGCGAGAGTGAAGATGAGTTTTATGACTACACCCCTCTTTTAGATGGCACACCGACTAAGATGAGTAAATCGCCTTCAGCAAATGTAGCTTTGTCTTCTCCTTCGAACGAGTCATCCAAGCTATTAGAGAAAGGTATAATTCTTTTTTTCTTTTCTTTTCTTTTTTTTTTTATTATTATTATTTTTTTTTACTTTTTTATTTTTTTTAAATACCTTTCATTTTCTTAGGCACTGCGCCTCGGACTTCCCCAGCTGCCTCGCATATGCCATTGGCTACCTTTAAGGGTATTCTTATTCATTCCTTGTACCTCATTTTATTTCATCATGTATAGATACTCAAGGAACTCTTTTCTCTTTAGATCATGCCACATTGCAAAATCCATGGTCCACTTGTGGGAATCACAACTTGTCTCCTCCACCTAAGTCTCTTCAAGCCGTACACCAAGGTATACTTCATTCATCTATATACATATATATTGTTTTTACCTTCCACGTTTTCATTGAGTATCTCCTTCTATTTTCACAGAAAATACTTCTGACACATTGGAAGAGACAGACGAAATTACTTCTGATACCTTGGAAGAGGCCCAAATTCTTGCAGACTTACTTGAAGCAAATGGGGTTAACAAATTATTTGACAAACTTGAAGCACCCTTTGCTCCATCTAACCTTCTTTTGGGAACTTCCTCTAACAAAGCAGCCACCCATATTCAGAAAGGTCTTACTATTTCTCTCCAATCAATGACGGATGTTAATGGCATGATTGCTGTAGCAAACAACGTTTTCATGATTTTGAAGAGTTTGGGTATAGACTTCATTTCCTTTTATGAGAAGGTGAAGATATTCTTTGGGTGCTTTGCTTTGAAAACCCAACTTGCAGATTCTTCAAACTTGTCCACTGCAGAATTTGAGGCCCAATATTATAAGAAGAAGCTTCATTTCGACAAAGTTTCTGGCGAACATAAACAGTTGTCTGCTTCAATTATCAAGTCGGATGAGCACATTGCGGGTCTTAATCAAAGGATTATTCAAACCAAAGAGTTACTCAAACAACTTGAAGAGGAATTGTCATCCACCCAAGCGGAACATGCATCCTTTATGTGTGATTTTGCACAAGCTTCCGAGAGTGTTTCTAAATCAGAAGAAGACGTGCAAACTGCTCTAAATGTTTTGAGCCAACACAAGAAGAAGAATGGATAACACAGTATTGTGGAACGTGCTTTTGAAAGGGCCAAGACTTCTCTTAATGAATGAATGCACTTTTATTTTTTTATTCATCCGAACATAATGTATTTATGAAATTTCGCTCAATGATAGATTTATTTGTTATATGAAATTTCTCAATACAATACATTGATTTGTCTTATTTTAGCCGTACACAATAGATTTATTTGTTTATACATTGATTTATCTTATTTTGGCCGTACACAGTTTATACTCTTGCGGGCCAGGAGTATCCAATGTTTTATCACCTTAGATTTCGGTGAGGTATTTTAGCAGTTTAACCACATACAATACCGTTGGTGGTGTTTGACTTTTGTTTGGCCGTACACAGTTTATACTCTTGCGGGCCCAGAGTATCCAATGTTTTACCACCTTAGATTTCGGTGGGATATTTTAGCAGTTTAACCACATACAATACCGTTGGTGGTGTTTGACTTTTGTTTGGCTGTACACAGTTTATACTCTTGCGGGCCAGGAGTATCCAATGTTTTACCACCTTGGATTTCGGTGGGATATTTTAGCAGTTTAACCACATACAATACCGTTGGTGGTGTTTGACTTTTGTTTGGCCGTACACAGTTTATACTCTTGCGGGCCAGGAGTATCCAATGTTTTACCACCTTAGATTTCGGTGAAATATTTTAACAGTTTAACCACATACAATACCGTTGGTGGTGTTTGACTTTTGTTTGGCCGTACACAGTTTATACTCTTGTGGGCCAGGAGTATCCAATGTTTTACCACCTTAGATTTCGATGGGATATTTTAGCAGTTTAACCACATACAATACCGTTGGTGGTGTTTGCCTTTTGTTTGGCCGTACACAGTTTATACACTTGCGGGCTAGGAGTATCTAATGTTTTATCACCTTAGATTCCAGTGAGGTATTTTAGCAGTTTAACCACATACAATACCGTTGGTGGGTTTTTTTTTTATTATTATTTTTTATTTTTTTTTGCCCTAACTTTTGCCTAGGCCGCCCTTTCGGGTTTTCAACCTAGCAGACTTTTTTTTTTTTTTTTTTTTTTTTCCCTAACTTTTGCCTAGATCGCCCTTTCGGGTTTTCAACCTAGCAAGCTTTCTTAACGGTAATATCTCTTCAAGAACCTTGCATTGGTTGGGGGAATGATTCTGTCACCATCCATCGTTATTAACAAATAGGCCCCATTAGAATAAACCTTCTCAATCACATAAGGTCCTTCCCATTTGGGCTCAAGCTTTCCTTTGGTTCTTCGTGAGACTACTATGGGTGTTCTAACCATTAGTACCAAGTCTCCCTTTTTAAAGGAACGAAGCCTCACTCTTTTATTGAATGCATTTGCCATCCTTTGTTGGTAGATTTTCAAGTTCTGTTGAGCACACAACCTTCTTTCATCCAGGGTCTCCAGCTCAGCCAACCTCACTCTTGCACTTTTACCTTCTATTAAGGTCTCTTGTATTGCCACTCGTAATGATGGTATTTGAATCTCAAGTGGTAACACTGCTTCTCCTCCAAAAACCAACGAATAAGGGGTTGCTTGAGTAGGAGTTCTGTGCGAAGTTCAATAAGCCCACAAAGCTTCTTGTAACTTTTCATGACAAGCTTTTTTGTTCTTATCCACCATCTTCTTAAGAATTTTGCACAATGTCTTGTTGAAAGCTTCTGCCAAACCATTGGCAGGTGCATGATATCTTGATGAATGGTTGTTTTTGATTTTGTACTTGGCAAATAACTTATTCAAAGCATCACTCCTGAATGGCTGTCCATTATCCATGATGATACTTTCTGGAATCCCAAACCTGTAAATGATATGGGTTCGGATAAACTCGGAGACAACTGTGCTTTTTATATCCTTTAAAGCCACAGCCTCTGCCCATTTTGAAAAATAGTCAGTTGCAGCTAGGATGTATCGATATCCTGTTGAAGATGGAGGTACAAAAGGACCAATAATGTCCATACCCCATGCTGCAAATGGCCAAGAACAAGAACAAGTTGTTAAATGTAAAGGCTCTGGGGGTTGGTGGAGAAAGTTCCCATGGAATTGGCAGACTTGGCATCTTCGAGCATAATTTATGCAATCTGCAATCATAGTCAGCCAATAGTATCCCAACCGTTTTAGCTGCATATGTAATTTAGGACCACTTTGGTGTGCCCCACATACACCTCCATGTATTTCTGCCATTACCTCTTGAATACGCTCCTTAGCTATACACCGCATGAACATTCCATCCAAAGACCTTTTGTATAACGTTCCATCTTTCCACAGGACGAATTTGGTAGCCCTACGTCTCACTTCAATTCTTTTTACTTTATCTTCAGGTAGCCTACCATGTTGGAGGTAAGTTATGAATGGTTCCCGCCAATCCTCCTCGTTTTCTCCTTTCGTGGTGACGACCAAGATTGGAACCACGTCAGAAACTTCTTTTAAAGGTTGTAACACCCTTCTTTCACCTACCGTGATAGTAATTGTTTTGCTATCTGGTAGGGTGAGTGATGCAGCCAAACTTGCAAGTGAATCAGCTCGAGCATTTGTTCTTCTCTTCACATGGAAAATATGTGTTTTTCTGAATTGCGAAAGCAATTGATCAGCCCTTTCATGATACGGGATGAGACTTGTTTTCTTAACATGTATTCTCCACGGAGTTGCTTTACCACCAGTTCCGAATCTCCATACATTGAGAGTTCTTCAATAGGAATTTGTAATGCCAATTCTAATCCAGCAATTACAGCTTCATATTCTGCCTCATTATTGAAGCATCCTTCACTTAAGGCGAAAGAATGGGTGATTATAGCATTGTCTGGAGACACAAACACAATTTCAATTCCAGCTTTATTGTTTTTAGGATTTTCTTGCTTTTTGCCATCTGGACTCCTTGAAGCTCCATCAAAATACATCTCCCATCCTTTCTGAATTTCTACTTGCATAACCTCTTCATCTGGTAAATCAGTTACTAGAGGTGAGTCATCAGGTATAGGATGTGCTGCCAAAAAATCTGCTAGAGCCTACCCCTTTACAGCTCTTTGGGGAACATATTCTATTGCGAATTGTTGGAGAATTACAGCCCACTTTGCAATTTTCACTGAAAGTATGGGCCGTGAAAGTATATATTTCAAGGGGTCTGCTCTTGATATCAACTTGACTTCGTGTTCCAAGACATAGTGCTTTAGTTTTTGCAAGGCGAACACCAACGCAAGACATGTCTTTTCGATAGGGGAGTAATTGACCTCTGCCCCAACCAAAGTACGACTCAAGTAATAAAGGGCATTTTCTTTCCCATGCTCATTATGTTGTGCCAACAATGCCCCTAACGAACCATCCAAGGCTGTTATGTACAACAAAAGTGGTTTTCCTTTTATTGGGCTCATAAGTACTGGAGGCTTCAAAAGATACTCCTTAATACTGTTAAAAGCATTTTGGCACTGCTGATCCCATTCAAATAGAACACCCTTTTTCATCAATCTTGAGAATGGCAAACATCGACCAGCCAAGTTAGAAATAAATCTTCTGATATAGACCAATCTCCCTTGTAGCCCCTTCAATTCCCTTAAATTTCGTGGAGGAGGCATTTCCGCAATGGCTTTAATCTTGGTAAGGTCAATTTCAATCCCTTTGTTTCGAACCACAAACCCAAGAAATTTTCCTGATGAAACTCCAAATGCACATTTTAGTGGGTTCATCTTGAGTTTGTACCTCCTCAAACGTTCGAAGATTTTTCTCAAATCTTCCACGTGGTTTTCCTTTTCCTTTGTCTTGACGACAAGATCATCAACATAGCATTCGATGGTGTCATGGAGCATATCACCAAAAATTACAGTCATCGCCCTTTGATACGTGGCCCCAGCATTTTTCAGGCCAAAAGGCATTACCTTATAGCAAAAGACTCCTCTCGGAGTCCTGAATGCAGTCATTTCTTCATCTTTAGGTGCCATTCGGATTTGATTGTATCCTGAGTATCCATCCATAAAAGACAAGGTTTCTTACCCAGTAGTTGCATCTACAAGAAGTTCAGTGATGGGCAAAAGAAAGTCATCTTTAGGACAAGCCTCATTGAAATCACGGAAATCAATGCAAACCCTGATTTGACCATTCTTTTTCTTGATTGGCACTATGTTTGCTAGCCAGGTTGGATATTTGACTTCTCTGATAAATCCTGCATTGATAAGCTTGTCGACTTCGGCTTCAATTTGGGCTGTAAGCTCTGGTCGAGTTCGCCTCTGAGGCTGTTTAACTGGCCGTTTCTCAGGGTGAATTGCAAGCTTATGGATTGCAATCTCTGGATTAAGACCAGGCATCTCACTGTAGTTCCATGCAAATATGTCACGATACTCCCTTAAAAAGGAAATATATTGCCGAGCTTCTTCTTCCTTTAAATTTGCACTAATGAAGGTTGGTTTGTTTTCTCCTTCATCACCCAGATTTATTTCACGAAGATCATCCACGGTGGCTTGGCCTCCTGCTTCAAATTCTGTTGGTGCAGGTTGAGCTTCATCTTGGTCAACATCTTCCAACACATCTTGAGTGATAGTCATGTTTACTGGAAATTTTTCCTCATCCCCCTGATAGCCTAACCCTTCTGTTCTGGCGGTGATAATACCGCCTTGCTAGATAGCCTGCCTCTGTGAAGGTGTTAATGCAAAGTCAAAGGGTGTCATTGTTCCTGGTATTTTTTCAGGATCTAAACCAACTTTTACCAACATCTGTGTGATTTCTGTACTGAAGGTAGGCTTCTCAAAACTCAAGATGTTTTCTTCTAGCACTTGTTCAACTTTCACTTTCTGTTCAACATCTCCAAGCGAGTGGAATATGATGGGTTTCGACCCTTTTCCTTTAGAAGGGACCACAATCTTATTATATTTCTCCACATAGGTGCATTCTGTCCTCCTTAATGGCAACGTGAACTCACCCTTGAGATCCAAAATTGGATATATTGGGGCTAGAGCCTTTGCCCCCAGTTTCCTTTCGGACTTTGGCACATATCGGAAAGTTCTTTTTGTTGAAACTGGAGTAGACTCTAGAGCGTCTTTGACATTCGGAGTATCTTCAGACTTCTTCACATCTTTTCCCTTTCTTTGTGAAGTCTTTATATAGAAGCGAGCATCAGCAAAGTAGGCCTCTACTTCTCCAAATGGATCATTGTCAGCCACAATTGTCCCCTCTTTTTTGGGTGAAGGCAACGGGTACTTAATACATTGGTGATAAGTTGATGGCACTGCATGATAATTATGCATCCATGGTCTCCCAAGCAAAGCATTGTAAGAGGTGTCTACATCAATAACCAAGAACTCAGTGCTTTCTTCAATATCCCTAAACTTGGTTTGCAATTCAATTTTCCCCATTGGGCGTT